AATAATAATAATAATTATGGAATAAAACAAGAACAGGAATTTTCACATAGATAACACGTGGAAGACATACAACCTAATCTAATTAAAAATGTCACTAGCATAAAAAGACTTTTATCGTAACATTTGCTCAACGTTAAATAAAAAAACTTTTAGAGAAAATTCTTACATTTCCTACAGCAGTGGGAAAATAGATTGTAAAATTAGTATAAATAATGAATTCTCACATCCCAAATAAAATTCTTTGCATTAGTAAAACTTTGCCGAAGACAGAAAACACTAAAATTACCAAATGCTTATCAAACCTTGAAAAACTGTTCTATGCCAGTTTTTTGTCGGGATATTCCCATTAAAAAAACTTTTTAAACTTTATTTCCTTCAATTATTTTAATTTTGATAGTCTCAGTAGTTCATTTATAACGTAATAATTTAGTATTTAAAGTAGCAGTTTTTGAATTTTACAATATTTCAACCAYATAAAGTCTTGGGTGTAGGGTTTAGTTTTGTTTTTGACATTACTAACTCAGATGAATTATTAAATTAAAACCTTTCTTCCAAAGGTAGCTGCAGCTTTTATATCCCGTTTGTGAGTTGTCTTAGTGATGTTTTTCCAATTTATAAATGGTTTGATGTTAAAAATGAGATAAAGCAGAAAAGAAACAGAAAACTAAAAATCTGAAGGAAAAAAAAAAAACCTGAAGCCAAAATTGTGAAAGAGGACCGGGCTAAGACTGGACTTCTCAGTACTTGTCCAGGATTGTTTGTGCTAAATAACAGTACACTACTTCAAAACCATGGAAACTAGTGGGAACTAGGGGGTGTGTCGGGTGCTGCAGCGCTCCCTGTTTGATGCCAGAGGACATGCATGTTTAAAAACAGATGATTAAAACCCACTTGTGCACAAAGAGAACATGCAAACTGCAGAACGAGCCTGGCTGACAGTCAGACCCACAGAAGCGACAGCACGAACCAGCTGCTCCACTCTGCAGCTGGTTTCCTGTTATAAAATTTGGATTATTGCCAGTGACTCTAAGAAAAAGAGTAGAAAGTATCAAGCTATGTAAATAAAGTAAATTGAACCACAAATATGTGTCAAATTATCCCACGGTTAAAACTACAAATACAGGGATCCTGGTCTCTGGGGTCTGAGGATTGTTTGCATTCTGAATCTCACTGTGTGTGCAGCACGGGACAAAGTTCCCACTAACTCTGGTAATATTTAACGGGATGGTTTTGGGTGAAATGACGGAGCTGAGCAGGCACGAGGAAGAAGCTGCATGTTTGAGATGTTTTCATTGTGTAATCTGCCGGTCGTCCACAGAGACATCAGGCACAGGTAAGTCAGGAACATTACTTATGGTACAACTGAATTACAATTTTATTGCAGAACTTTTGTTTTTAAACCCTGTGAGAAATAATTTAGAGACAGAAAATGAGGATTGGACTCAGAGTTTCTGTATAAATAATACCCTGGTTTTAATATTAGTGATTTACAAATAGTTTGCATCTGGATTAAAGTAATTAGGACTCTGTATGAATTGTTTATCAGAGGGTTTAAAACAAAAAACGACAGAAAACACGACCACAGAACAGGTACGCTCTCAGATTTCATGACAAAACCGATCTTAGCTGTGAGTTAAATAAATATTGTGCGCAAAACAGGAGAAAAAAGAACTGACCAGTGAAATATTTTTTGCAGTGTCATAAAATATGGGCTGAAATGACCCAGATGTAGAATGAGCAAGTTCCAGATCTACACATCGTTCTTTAATAATAAAACTTTCCTTGTTTTCAGGATCATTTAACACAGAATAATTCACTAACTGGATTACCTCAAACATGGACATCCTTCTGTTGTTGGTGCTTCTGGTTTCATGCAGGATTGAAGGTGAGATTTTGGCTCAAAACACATCTTGTTGCTTGAGAAAACAGTAACTTATCAACAGTCAGTGATGCTTCGCGCTGAAGGACCTAACAAACTGAAAGTGTATTGATCCATCTGTACTTTAAAGAGTTTTCTTAAAGATGATTGATAATCTAGACACTGGTTACACAGCAAAAAAAAAGTCCATGTAATCAAGTCTCACAATCTTATTTCCACCCAAAAAGTGTTTTTGAACTTGCTTTGAGGCTGAGATACTGAGCATGAGCAGAATGGATTATTAATCTTGTTAGCCTGGATTTTTTCTTATTTCAAGAAGTCTCACTAAGTGCAGTTGTCTGACTGCTCTGGCAGATTATTCATTTAATAAAAAATAAATCAGACTGTAATCTAATATTTTTAACTAATTTTTAGGTGGTTAATTTTTGCAGTGTAGGTCTATTGGGTGTTCAGCAGGCTCTGTTCTGAGTCACAACAGRAGTACATGCACTTGTTTGTTTTCTCGTAGCAGTAAAGGAAAGTACTCTATGTTCTGGTTTAAGGACCTCGTTTCACAAACACATTACAGCTCCAACCATCTCAGTGTGCCACATACAGACATTTGGCATGAAGAATATTTTCCCCTCTGTCACAAAGAAGTAGGGGTGTAAGAAAATATCGATACACTGAAATATCGCGATATTTCATTTCCCGATACTGTATCGATATTCTAAAGCCCTGTATCGATTTTTTTTATTAAGGTTTAAAATGTCAACTTTCCTGCCAGCCCTTCATTTTTATGTTGTAGTTCAGCCTCTGACAAAAGGGAAAAAAATTGTATAGTCCTCTGGACGGGTTCTTCTTTAATGAAACGTTTCGTCTCTCTTCCAAG